CTTTGATGACAGAAGCTTCTTGTGTAGTCCTCCATGTTTAATGGCTGTCGCGACAAGGTGTCGGCATCGTTATTAGACTTCCTTGAGTGGTACTTCACGTCAAATCTGAAATCTGGTAGTTCTCCAACCCAGCGCAAACTTATCGAATTTGACAATTAAACTTAGCAGTGGTAAGGACATATGTCAATGGATTGTTGTGGTCTGTATAGATGGTAAATTCCGGTGCATAATAGAGGTAATCACGAAACTGCCCAACAATGGCCCACCTCAGCGCAAGGAATTCTAATTTGCCAGCATGGAGATGAGAATATCTTTCAGCTGGTGTAAGAGCACGCGATGCATATGCAATGACTCGAATCTTTCCATCTTGGCGCTGATAGAGAAGTGCTCCCAGGCCATCCTGAGAGGCATCTGTATCGACAATAAATGGTTTTTTCTAATCAGGATACACCATAATCGGTAGGTTGGTGAGGTGCTCAATCGGTTCATTTAACGATATCTGATGTGTTTGAGTCCACCTTATTGTTGTTACAGATAGTAGTTGGCCCTTCTTGTTGTCAGCAGTCCTGGTAGCACCCTTAGGTGTGGTTCCCTCTTTGGTTTTATTCAACAGTTCATAAATCGGCTTGGCAATTTTGGCAAAATTCGTGATGTAACGACGGTAATAACCCAGGAACCCAACTAAGTGCCTGAATTCCCCAACGGTCAATGGCTTCTTTTCTGCGAGATTGATGACGGCGGCTAGTCCACTGGGATCAAATCTATAACCGTCTTTTGACACAGTACGCCCCAGAAAGCAAACCTCCCTTTGGAACAGTTTAGCGTGACTTCAGTTTGATTCCCTGTTGTCGGAGGCTGCGAATTACTTTTTGCACATGATCGACATGCTCCTCAAACGACTTGCTGAATATGATAACATCGTCGAGGCACGGGGTTGCTATTTCAACTCTTAACTCGCCCAGATAATGTTCTATATACCTTTGAAAATTGGCCAGAGCTTTTGCTGAACCGAAAGGTATGCGCACCCACTCATATAGACCCCACGGCGTAATAAAGGCAGTGTATGAGTGGCTCTTTCGTGAGATGAACTCCTGGTGGTAGGCCTTTCCTTGATCTAATACAGAGAACCAAGAATTTCCACCTAAGCTATCCAAAGTCTCCTGAACTCGGGGGATTGGGTGTCAGTCAGGGGCGGTGTGACGTAAAGTCCCATCTTTTTTTCGCACGCAGACAACTGGGGATGAATATGACGATCGAGATTTCGTGATGAACTGTTTGTTTAGTAGGTCTTCAATGTAGTGCTTCACCTCTTGATAAAGTGGCCTTGGGAATGAGTTTTTTTGGATTGGTATACTATTTGACAAGTGAATATCCTTCTCTAGTTCTTGTATGCAACCAATGTCGGACTACTTTCTGCTGCTGCATAGTTAACCCGCTCATATCAACTTCTGGGGTGGTGGTGTCTGACTTGCTATCATGTTCTCTAGTAACCGAACTTAAACCATCCACAAGTTGCGATCTAGCTAGTGAGGTACGGCGTGGGAGGACAATGTCATGGTTACTCGTGTTCTGAACCTTAATGTTGACCCTTGATACTTATCCCTTCTTAGCAGTTGTTAGTGTTTCATATACCTCAAGTCCTGTTGGCCACTGAGATAACTCGTCAGGCTCAAACAACACTGGTATGTTACTGACTCCGGGACCGGTGTTTGCCCTACATGCCACTTTTACTACTTGACCACCGGGAATGACAGTGTCTCTTTTTGACGTTCTTACATTGCACAGAAATTCATCATCCGGAGTTTGAATAAGACTGATCAGGGCTTCCAACTGACTTTCACCACTATCCACGAATCCTGTTTTGAGGGAATTTAAAATGCGAGATCCTGGGGAAGTTTCTCCTTCTTGGTTGGCCACTTTCACTAACTCTTCGATAACATTATAGCCCAGTATTGGCATTTCTAAACGATCAACAGTAATAAGAAAAGGAACGTGTACTTCTTGCCCTTCTTGGTTAGGTGAAGGAAGTTGCACTCTCACGTCGGTCCAACCAATATAGGGAATCTTGGTTCTATTAGGGGCAGTAAGATCGAGTCCAACATTGATCAGTTCCGAGGTGTCTTTTACTTGTGTTCCTGGTAGCTTTTCCTCTAACATGGCCCTTGTCATTATCGACACCTGGGCCCCGTGTCCCATAGAGTTAATACTTCAGTATCATTCAGAAGACACTTTACAGTGCACTTTCTTCCAACCAGGCTAACAATCTTAGCATGGTGTGCAGGTTTCAGGTGACTAACAAATGCTGTCTGAGTGGATTCGGATGTCTCCCTCTATGATAGTTTCTTTATAGCCTGACAAATTTATCTGTGGATTAGCCATTGTTCCTTTTGACATTTCCGAGAACAGTACCACACAACCTGGCATAGGGAACAGAGCCGATGCGGGACTCGTGTTTCTACTCTGCCGCAACAATTATATCGGTGGGACACGTGTGAGGTGTCGGCTACTTGTGGTCCCCCTGAGGCAGCCGGTTTCCATTTAAAGGTCGCTTTCCAGACGATTCACCATGACGGCAACCAATGGTATAATGGCTGTCACTTTCACAATTAAAAAAGTATTACACCACTGCTTGTTGTTACTGAGGCAAGTTGGGCACTTCTGTGGGCTGTTCCTTACATGTACATAACGATTTCCATTCCCCCTTCCACTGCTCCATCTGCTTCCTCTCCCTGGCCTGATTGAGGGGTTGGTCCGGATTTTGCCTTAACTTCAGCCTTAAGTGCCTTTACTTCAGCCTTAATTTCTTGCAGTTCCCTTTTCGCACAACCGGATGACTTAGATTCCTTTTTGAAAACAGGTGATTGACCAGTAGGTAGTTCGGGTGATTGTGATGATAGCTCACCAGTCTGGAACACCACAGGTGATTTGACCTCGGACTAGCCCTTCAGTTTCTTGACTCTTTCTTCCTCAGCAGAAACTGCCACATTCAGCTGGTGGATTAATTCTTCATCCTCAATCAAGGGACTACTTAGGAATGGGCGAGGCTTGGTTCTAATGTTCTCATCCTGGAGCCCTGTCTCAACGGTCTTGCGAGAAAACTGATGGATGTGGTCAGCGTCATACTTCAATGGATCTTCCCCTTCCTGACTCGCAAATAGTATCTTCTGTCTCAAGTCAAGGGCTCGCATGAGTTATGCGTGGAGTGTTTCTTTCCCATGTTGGCAGATGGATGCTAAACTCTGGTACAGTTCTGCTGTGTTCTTTACCCCATAATGACTGCGAAGGATCTTCAGTTTAGACGACCAAGAGAGAGCTTCTCAAAGAATTGCAAGCAACTTCTTAAAGTTAATCCAGGAATGATGGCACGGACCACTCCATACACAATCTCATGTTCTTTGTATTTTTGTGCAATCCCCGTGTCAATCTGTTTCCGTAATGAGCTGTAATCCAACTTATCCTTCTGATCTGGGTCTCCAATTTGGCCTGTTATCGTAAATTGACGCCTAAGTACACTCGTGGATTCAACAAGAGCATGCAAGGAGGATGGCGTGTCACCACTCGGTTGCGAGCTTAACTCTGGCTTGACCTTACCATCCGATTCCAAGATGTGCTGTTTGTGCAATAGCTTAAGATCATCGATCTCTTTTTTTAAACCCTTGAATAACTCACTCTTATTTTCATCAGCATCTTCGAGTGGCGGTGGAATGTCAATAAACATCTCAACAATAGTTTGAAGGAAAGTCACTTTCTCTTCTTCCTCTATACTTGTCAACTCTTTCTCAATATCATTTGTGATAATATTAATAATTGAGACTTTCGTTTTATCCTTCACGCTTTCTTCCTTTATTTTGAGATATTTTGCAACAAGCTTAATCTCCTCTACGGTGGCCTTGCAAAGTTCCGTGTGAATTCTCAATTGAAGCTCCTCCACCATCTCTAACTTGAATTTTAATCGTGATACCTTACTCGGAAATTACACAGGCTATTTAGCTTTCTCTTACCTCGTCCATCATTTGATAATCAACACAGTTCGCTCGGTCGAGTGGCCAACGCTCGATGTTGCTCGATGTCATCGAGTTGCTTCTAGAGTTTTCCGCATGATACGACGACCGTTTTTCCCTCTGTCGGCTCATTAGCCCCGCCAGAAACACCAATTTTGTTACTCTGTCGCCGAATAAACTTTGAAACTATTGAACCATGTGCTTTCTTTATTCTCTTCTCGTTTTTTCTTGCCGCAAGGGCTTATGAGTAAACACGTACGGGTGCTCATGAGTCACAGACCTCCCAGCTTTGTCTCCTAAAGGAAGTAGAACCCAAGAAAAGCATAGTTCCAAGAGTAAGAAAAGAGCTGATTTACTCGCTCGATCTTCGAATGAAGTAAGATAATCTTACATTCAATAGTGTACTTACCAGTATGACGTTCTCGTTATGGCTTGAAACAATGGTAAAACATACGTTTTCCCCTACAGCATCTCCAAAACTCTTTAAGTCAACTCCCGACGTGCGACTGATTTACAACGAATATGGCCAACGTGCAGAGAGCAGCTTTCGAGAATTTCCGCTTATCAGATAAAGGAAACCTCGACAAGGTGGAGATAGAAAAGAAATTCTAAAAATCGATGAATCGCTAAAAAATACTGTTAGAATAAAATGATAAAGTTAATAATAAAATGATTACAATTATAACAAAAAAATAATAGTGATGGTAATGGTTATTAAAATAATGGTACTACTAATGATACGTAATGGCTATAATAACAGCAATGACAATAGTATGAAATAATAATAGTATGAAATAGTAATAGGGATGATAATTATGGTGATTAAAACTTCTTTCGCCACCACTCTTCGGCGGGTTTTATGGTGTGGTTAGTTGTGAGCTTGTTTGGGCGAAAAAAAAAAAAGAATAGAAATATCGCGGAGTTCTGCTGACCTCCACTCCAGCAATACTATTCAGTTTTCCGTTTTCTTAGACAGATATTCTCATTGTTCCTTAACAGATGGTTAGAATAGTCACAATGCCTCTAAAGTACTGCATTTTACTGGCTATCTTTCTCGGTTACGGACTTTGTGTGAGAGATAAAAATATTTCACGAAAATTGAATGGCACGGTCAACGGTAACCAGACCCTCACGCGTGCAGATGGTCCATACTTGGTCACCAGTGACTTAGTTGTCCCAGAGAATGTTACTCTTACTATAGAACCTGGTGTAATTGTGAATTTTGTTCCATCTGTGGGGATTCGTGTTCGTGGATTGTTTTATGCAAAAGGAACACCTTCGCAGAGAATTACTCTTCGAACTGTTCCTGATGGAGAAGCGAGTTTTAGCAATAAAACAGACGGGGCTAAATTCTACAGTCCGGGGGTAAGGCTTGTGGATGGAACATCCTACAACAATGGGCGCCTTGAGCTGCAGTATAATGGAAGGTGGGGGACTGTCTGCAACAGCAGGAGGAGTTGGGATATCAGCAATACGCAAGTGGCCTGCAGACAACTTGGCTTCCTTGGAGCGAAGCGGTATTTCTATGATCCTGGTAGCGGCCCCATGATGATGAAGAATGTTAACTGTAAGGGAACCGAAACGAGACTATGGGATTGTCCTTATACATGGATTATGAATAATCCATATTCATGTGGTAAGTTCATTTCACTAATAAGTAATACACTGTTGTTTGCCGCATGTTCCTTTCCATGGAAACATTCTCTTGCTAGCTTCAAAGCAAGTGGCTGTTAACCACCCAATTTAATTTCTACACGTCACCAAATTAACTTAGACCTTTCTTTGTTCAGTGACTTTACCAATGTTCCGTTATACGTGCTGAATATTGAAAGGAGGGGATAAATATACGTCCATATACGATCGAGTAAGCTACATTGAACTCATGCTCTAGAGGAATCTTTCGCTTGTGTTTGGAGGCAAGATGGTCGCTACGAGATACAAAACATTTTTTAACCAGAAATCTTGTCCCACTAGCAATCACGTACAGGTGACGAATTTCCGGCCGTTTAACGTCTTACTCACAATTTCTGTGAAATCGGGTACCCGAGACGATTTTTCCTCCTCGTTAAGTTGTTCCCGTTGATGTACTCATGCTTAAGTGATTACAAGTTCAAGCTTCGTTAAGCATTTGAAGGCTTGGTGTACGCTCTTTCCAACTTTCTTTCGATCTTTTTGGGCCTCTGGCGGAGTTAAATTTGGATTTTTGATGTGGATATTTTGCTTTGAAACCAATACTATGAAGCTGAGCACTTCAGGACGCTATCGGATAGGTGACCTTAAGTCTCCATATGAAAATAAATTGTCCTAAATACCCAACTCATTCGCCCGACTTGAAACTTGAACGAAACAGTGGATAGACTAAAGGAGGAAAACGTTGTATCAAGGTCCGCAAAACCGTATAAATAAGGACTTTCCTACAACCAACTACAAAATCGGTTACTTGTAGGCCACTAACCACATTCTTATGTCTATTTTTCCATTTTCCATCGCAACAACAAATATTTCAGGTCACAGCTGGGAAGTTGGAATTGAATGCGACACTCTCTTGCCATATCTGGCCGAGACTTTTTACTGGAAAGGTATTTTCTTCGACCTGAGGAATTCCTCAGAGAAACAAGGAAGTTCTTCGCTGGTGCACGTAAACATCGAGAAGGCTCTCGAGGGTGTTAATGCCGTAAAAAGCGCTCCAGAGTTACTACATGTTACAATTAACGATAGTGCCTCTGGCTTAAATTTAAAAGAAGTTTCGAAACCTTTGGCCGTAGTTGATTGTTCAATCCTAAGGCCTATGCTGGCTGGTGTAAGCATCGAGAGCTTCTGTGGTAATGCTGTAATTGAAAACGTCACCGTTCAGAGTGCACGATTTGGGGGAGGTCTTGTCTTCAAGCACTTGGCAGTGAATTTCTGTTCTGTCATTCCAGAGAAAGCTTCTTTTCCTTTGTTCCTAAATGCCGCTGGGAATCATCAACCAGTAAATTGCATTAAGGTAGGATCGAATATTTTAGCTAAAATGTCTGAGCGATTTGACTGAAAAGAAGTATGGAGTACGCTGTGAAACAAGAAAATATAAAAGTTTAGCATCTCTTGTCTGAACGCAAAGCCTCTGGAATGTTAACTTTAGAATGTATAATAAGTTACCTCTATTTGGCACAACAATATGTTTACACACTTTAATTCTTTTTCTTTTTCTTGTTGAATGATCACCGAGACCAAGTCGCACATCTTTGTAATACCGAATCATTTATCCAAAATACGGATATTTTGCGCAGAAATCCTTTGCGGACACCCGCTTTCGACCATCTCAAATAAGCCAACGATTGAATAAATAAGTTTGCTCTACAGGCTAAAGGAAGGAAACACTTACATTAAAGCCACCTCTTCAGTTTTCATTTGTCACCTGAAGTCATTTGGCAGCTCTCGAATGTTATTTTCAGGACATTTTCCTCAATCGAAAGTATTCGTAAAACATGGAGATCTAGTCCATAGCCAAAAATTCATAAAAGAATTTAATATTTTCATGAATATTTTAATTAATTATTAATTAATTATTTTGATTTTCATTAACTTTCATTAATCGATCACCTGCATAAGACTAGCTGTAGCTTGGAGACATATCTGTTTGTTGCTGTCTTTTTTTAATTAAAACTCCTCAAGTGAAAGAAATCAAAAACTCCTCGCATTCTTTAGGTTTTCAGAGCTTCACCAAGAAGAAAGATCTCTGTGCATTTGAGAAAAATTAATGGAAGTGGATTTGAGCTAAATATTACCGATGGAAGGGCAGGTATCAAAACCCAACTTCACAGAATCACCAGTGACTACAATGGAAAGACAATTAAGACTGGTTCTAGCTTTATTTTGGAAATTTCCTTTTATTCTAAAGGCAATTCTAAGGCTCCGGCCAACTTGGAAATGATCATTAGGGAAGATCAAGGTAATTTTATTAATAGTGATGTCATTAAATAAGATAAATAAGAATAATAAATCTATCTGCTGTTCAAGCAGTTCATCATTTGTTCAAAGATGTAGCAGTAACGTCCTCAACTTGTCCTTTGGTCAACTAGTCCGTCGTTCAGTCCTGCGGTCGGTCAGTCCTTCATCGGCTACTTCGGTCGTTTGGTTAGTCTTTTGTTCTGTAGCTCGAACGATCAGTTGGTCTCTTAGTCATTTAGTCAATAGGTAAGCCAGTTTTTCAATGAACAAAAGAACGAAAGAATCAGTCATTCTCTACTAAAAACAAATGACTGCCAACAGATAGTCCATAATTTTTTTATCATGTCTACTCTTCGTAACATTAACGTCTTGGCTTTTGATCATTTGTAGGCGAGACTTTATCACTTCTGATATCCAATAGTACCTTTTCTGAAAATTCTAAGTCTGGTATTACCGTTGATAACTTGATTGGTAACTCTCGAATCTCGCAGACAACGGTGATAGGAAACAATTACTATGGACTCTATGCCAGCGACACACAAGGCAAAATCTCTGTGGTAACGTCCGTATTTCTGCGTAACAAATATAACGGTGTTAACATAACCAAGATGGCAGGTACTTTAGAATTAATCAACGTCAATTCCTCAAAAAACCAAGCATCAGGAATCGTTATCGATGCTGGAACTCTATCATTCCAAATGTCTGACAGCCTTATTGAAGAAAATGCCGGTCACGGATTACACATCTTGAACCAGGTCAACTCCACAATCAAAATTAACAACACGCAGATTGTTCGTAACAGTAATGGTGAAGGAATATATTTACAGGCACTTCGGTCTTGCCATGTTCGACTAGCGGAAGTATTGTCTCTTGGTAATTCGCAGAATGGAGCTCTGTTGACAAGATTATCCGATACCAGATTAAATGTCACATCTTGTAAATTTGATGGAAACTCCTACACGGGAGTTCACGCTGACTACTTTCTCAAAGGAGAACTTAAATTAGAGAATATCTCCACCTCAAACAATTTCAGATATGGTTACATTTTCCATTTTGGGGATACCAGCATAAACATAGAGTCTTCGTCTTCTTTTGGTAACGGCAGAGATGGCTTTTACGTAGAAAATCAAGAAGGAGAAGTTGTCTTAAAGGATTTTGCCGCTCGTGGCAACAAACGACACGGATTGTGGTTTGTTGATGACAACTCAGCTCGTCTTCGATCAGTTTATCTTCTTAACTGTAATATTTCAGAGAACAGTCAATACGGTGTGCGGTTTTATTTCACTTATAGATTTACTCAAGGCACGGAGAACTATACCATTAACGTTGAAAACTCCACAATTTCCAACAATCCTCTTGGTGGTTTTACGCTCTATCCTCCAGGCTGCAGTTGGGGAAACGTTCAGCGCCAAAGACGCGTTCAAGTTTTATTCACTGGTAATGAAGTAAAGGGAAACGCGAAAAATGCTTTGGATATCCTTGGTCCGCAGTGGTACGAGTTATCTGCTGCCCTGGATAATAACAGATTTTACGAGAACAGTGGACTCGCTCTGATAGTAAGACATGGCCAAAGTTGTAGCCATCAGCATTCGTCATCCTACAAGTTGCAGGTTTCATCCAATATCTTTTTGAAGAATAAAGGGGAGAACATATTTTTGGTTAATTGCGAAACGTTACCCACAAAATGCCGTGTCATCATAAGAAATAATACGTTTTTAGAAAATCAAAGAATACGGCCGTTTTCCAGGAATTACCTTCGTACCAAAACGCAGGCAGTTTTAGCTGTAAAAGGAGGCAACGTTACCATAAAGTACAATTCCTTTATCAATCCTTTGTTCTCTCAGGAGTTAGCAGCTCTGCTTAAAGACCGCGAACACGTCATTCAAGCGGAAGAAAACTGGTGGGGAACAAAAGATGAATGCAAAATAAAAGACCGACTGTTTGACTTTGAAGATCGAGTGGAACTTGCACAAATCCATTATTATCCATTTTTGGATTCCCACAATTCTACCGCTGCTAAATTACACAATGGTGCCAGACCTCTTTGTTTTCTTCGAGGTGACAGCTTAGGGGGAACATTGAATCAAGTCCTCAATATCACAAACGAAAATGATGTCTACCGAGTTATCAGTGATGTCACGATATTGTCTGACGGTGTTTTGTGTATCGAAGAAAACGTCACTTTAGAATTCCCATTGAAAAGCGTTTTCTTAGTACAAGGAAAGGTTATTATAAAAGGTACTGAGAAAGAACGGGTGAAGTTCCTTCCAAGGGGACCATTGAATCAGGATGTTAGACTCGTCCAGGGTCCTGCCCCTTGGGAAGGGGTGGTTGAAATATGGGTCAATCGCACGTGGATGCCAGTTTGTATTCATAACTATCGACACGAGTATGACATAGTGTGTAGAATATTGGGATACGAACCGGAGAACTCTTATTACCATGACAAAAGTGGAAGAGAAAGAATATTCTTGCATAATCTCCGATGCGATACAGATCAAGGAGATAACATTACGATTTGTAACAAAAACAACTGGATTTCTTCTTCATCGTGCTCGGCATATGTTTTGTACGTTGGTTGCAAAATTCCCTACTGGGCAGGCATTCATCTTGCAGTGACTTCAAAGAAGAGCGTTGTCAGGAATCTTGAGTTACGCTATGCCGGTTGTCCATATAGAGACGACCTGGGTATCCCCGGAATTGCTTTCAGGGTGGACCTCCCTCGTCATACGATTAGCGGTGTCTCTGTGAGTAATTCTGCGTCCATTGGTTTCCAGATTATGTATCCAGACCCCGTTGAAGATTCGTATAGAATCACGAATTCAACAATAGATACAACTGAATCGGATGGAATTCGTTTGGAGTCTCCATTTCTTGAACTCCTGGGTGCAACTGTTGTAAATACGAAAGGCTACGGATTTTCGTATCGTTACAACTGGAATGCTCTCAACACACAAGTTGTAACAATGGCAGATGCGACTATGAAGAAGTATCTCGACATGTGCAGTGAAAGTGAAACATTCATTGGTGATTCTAGCGTAATGCATTATCTTGTTGTGAAAGCAAAAAGCTGAGCAGCGTGTGACGCTATAGTTACTGTTCCACAGGAATATACAATAGGGTTACAGCTAATCTATCACAATGTACATGGCATAGTTTTCCACGTCTACAATCGAACAGAAAAACCAAAGGGCATTTACTGGGACATCCATATGTTAGATTGGTATAGCCGTCCTGTTTGGATGTCTGGCAATAGCTCAATCCTACTGGAGAAAGGGAGGAAATATTATACGGATGACTTCACGGTGCATTTTCTACTTTTTCTTATCAAAAGTAAGTTCAGCTAATAAATAAATGCTATAGAGTAAAGCAATGGTGCTCGCATGTGGACTGGAACTTTTGCAATTGCGAAAAAAGAAGCCTGAATAATTTAGGCTTCGATGGGATTCAAACCCTTTAATTACTATTTGGATGTTACTACCAAAAGATCTACAAAGCCAGACGTTGGTGAGCCAGGCAAATTTAAGAGAGTTCTTCTTTTCCGTAGAGGAACTCTGAAAAAAAAACATATTTTAAAATTCATTTCAAATATCGATCATGTTGGCGGTAACATTGCAAACCAAAGATAACGGTTAACAGATATTTTGATGATTTTCATGAAGTCATAAAGGAATCATCATAAGAAAACACCAAACATGCTATTATCTTAAAATTGTAGAGCTAAGATGTTCGATCTTTTAAGTAAATGGTTCTTTAAATCTAGCTTATTTTGATTGTCGAGATTCAGTTTCCAGTAAATATATTTTTTAAAACTGTCAGGTGCTCTCCTTCGCTCGCAATGAGTTGGGCAAGAGTTGCATTGGGCCTAAATTTTACTTAATAATCATTTAAATCATTGGATCATTTTATTGCAACAAAAAGCTGTGACTATCTTTTGAAAGTCAGATTTTGATCACAGTCAGGAACAATTTTCCCCAGCTTATTTCACAGACATGTTTTATACAGAAGTTAGCGAAAGGCTGTTTACTTCTCCTGCTTATTTTGTGTTCATAGACAACTTTTGTTTTGCTCTCGACCAACAGGTGGTGAAAAGACAAAGGTCAGATCACCAAACCTTTTAATATCCAAGGGGAATTTCAGCCACAATACTAAAGGTGGAATCTTTTTGGGAGGAGACGAGGCAGGAATGGTAGAAATCCAACACACGGAAGTACGAAACTCACCCCAAAATGGCCTATCGACAGCATTTTCCTACGTAAACAGTTTAAAGCTGCTTAATTGCCAGTTTGTTGGAAACAAGATTGGAATCAGACTCTCTTCTTTTTCAGGTAATGTTAATGTCGAGAGTTCCAAGGCTTCTAATTCCACCGAAAACGGACTTTATGTGGACACGAACGGGGAAAAATCAATCTATATTGAAAATGGTGGTGTTTTTTACAGCAATGGATATGGAGTTTATCTAAGAGGTAGTTATACGAAAGTGAAACTTTCTGCAACAAGGACTTTTTTCGGATGGAATAAGGCATCTTCAGTTTATTCCCGAGTTTATTACGGTTGTAGTTTGCCTTGCTCATCCCATACCATTTTTACAAACTGTACATTTTATGCCAACCGAGGCCCTGTAGTAGACATCAACGAGTCTCCACACTCTAATCCATGGCAATTTGACGGAAACTTTTTCCTAAATAACACTCAAGGTCCTGTTATTTTGACTACGAAGGATACGCGCGATTCCTACACTCCTGAACTATTTTTGAGAAATAACTACTTCTTGTTTAACTTCTGCCAAGATAAAAGCGTCATAGACATCAAAGGAGGCACAAAAGTCTTGATCATGGAAGGAAACGTCTTTGAAAAAAACTATGGGAGATCTATCTTTTTAGAAAAAACGTCTCCTTCCGGTGCAACTATAAGGAGTAACGTCTTCACAGACAACAAATGCTTAAACAGTGGAGTCATTGAAATTCAGAGGATGGATAAAGACATCTTAATTGTTGACAATACCTTTAAGTTGAATAAAGGACTGTCTATGGTTTTTCTCCACTGCGAATACGTTGTAGAAGGCAACACGCCCTCTGGCATGAAGAATGTAACGTTTTCGAACAATTCACTCATTAGCAACATAGATGTATCATTAAATTCCCCAACCTGTGAGGTAAGAATCTCCGGGTTTATAGAATGGAGAACATTTTTCGTGAATAACAACAGGTTTAGCAGCGTTCACTTCTCGAAAGAACTTTGCGTAAACACCTTTGCATCCTCGCATAGCAGTGCAATTCAGGCTTCCTTAAACTTCTGGGGCTATGATGACGAGGAAAAAATCAAGGAGAGAATCTTTGATGCTGAAGACAACTACGAACACACATTTGCTGATTTTCGTCCCTACATTAGCAGTGCAGGAAACACAGTGGAAGGTTCGCCAGAAAATATGACCCGTAGTGGGCTTACGAAAAGTTTTCTGGGAGGAAGGATATTATCTAACATTCTTCTAAGAAAAGAGAAAAGTCCCTATACAGTTGTGTCCGATGTCACTATCCTGCCCGAAGCCTCTCTTACAATTAATCCTGGTGTTGAGGTGCAATTTATGCCAGGAGTAGGCATATTGGTCCTTGGTTCAATCTTTGTACGTGGAAATGGGGATCAACCTATCCAATTTTCTCTTTCAAATACGAAAAAGAACATTTCTTTAAAAATAAGATTAGCTGGAGGGAAGTTTCCATGGGAAGGACGTGTAGAGATACTTCACAGCGGGAATTGGACCCCACTGCATTTAAATGTGACGGAAGGCAATAAAGGGAATGTCACCAAACTGGTATGTGAACACCTGGGTTATAAAGCACCACTGTCTATCCATTATTCCCCTTACCAATCTCTCATTGCGTGCGATGCTTGTGCCGCTCTTCATTGTAAAGGAAGTGAGGTAGAGTTGACAGAATGCACGTTATCTTTCCACAAACTCAGTTGCAACACGTCGCACCGTCTTGTGTTAAACTGCGGTGGAGGAAGGCCTTGGGGAAATATCAGATTTCTTCGCGAAGCCAGGGACACGCCAAACCTGCCAAAATCAAGTTTAAAGCACCTGAGGATTGTGCACTGTGGCGTGAAACATGGCGAAAAAGTCGCTGCTATTGAGCTGATACAATACGTTCCAGAAGTAAGCAATGTGACTGTTCTTAATTGCACATCAGGTGGTATCAAGGTTTGGTTCCCAGAAAAAGAGGTCACTATAAGGAATAGTTCCTTCGTGAATACCGGAGGAAATGGAACTGATCTTATCATTACGAAAATAAACATTACACTTGAAAACGTCAAATCGATGAATAACGAGTTTGGACTGAGTTTTCGTGAAGAGTACGGTGATTGGATTAATGGTATTTCATACGGGCAAATCAATCTGTGCTCCCCACAAAAAGTGGTTAACATCACGGATCACGATTTATTCATTTACTTTAGAGCATCATTTCAGACTTTTTCAAATCTAAAGGTATCCTGCAAGATAAAGATTCAAACAGAGGGAGATGCCGGCTTTGCTATTCAACTACTAGTGATGCGAAGTTCAAAATCTATTGAGATAGAAACTCCGCACGGACGTAAAATCTCAGGTCAATTTTCAAAGCGAAGAATGATGGGGTGGGATTCTTTTACAGTCAACTTCAAAGGATGGTACAGTAGCGAAATGCTTTTGAAAGTTCAACGAGTTGATAGCAAAGGTTAGTGGCTAGCTTTTCATTTTCATCGACATCATTACCACTGCTCCTCTTGTCTTTATCGCGATACTGTGAAGTATTGTGGTTGTGGTGGAAACATTCTGAATATTCCTGAATAATTCCCCAAGCTTTGCTTTGTAAAAATTTATTCCTCTCCCAAACACTCATTCAATAACTGAACTAGAACAACGAACCAGGATATGTTTATGAGTGGAGTGTGGCGAGACAATGAACGCTGCTAATATTTCTGTCTTAATTTTCTTCAGATATACCTTGTTCTTTTGACCATGGATTCTGTGACTGGAGACGCTATCCCAAGTCACGTTTCAGGAACAATACTCTGACTCAACAATGGCATCATGGCTGGGAAAACTATGGTTATGACCACACCTATTCAATGTATGAAGGTAAGCAGTGATAGACTGTGAGAGCCATAGGTTTCTCAGTCTAAGACTTTAAAGTGCTTCCCTCGTTAAATAAAGTCATTTATTTATTTATTTATTTTTAGACAGGATCCTATCAACTGAATCAGTAATGAGTTGTCTTGTAAAGTTGTGTTAGCTCATTCTCTTTCTGAAGGAGAGATTGGGAACTTTTAAGTGGTCCTGTCAACTTTCACTCTACTCTCCTGGCGACGAGTTTCGAAGTTCCCTACGACTTTCAGTTTCTCCCTCCTCAGTTATTTTGAAAGGAAATATACCCACCCACCGTCTCATTAATAGTATGTAAAACAGGCGCCCATTATGTTCGGCAGTATAATTAAGAATTGCAGAGCTTACTAGTTCTAAAAGAGTGAGGAGAAAATTATTGATTGAGTTTTAGAAATTGAAAAAAGAGAAATGTGATTAAAAAAAAATTATAGCGCTTACTTTTTATCATATTTTACGCAGGGAGAATACTATGGATTGAGGCCAAAGGATCCTGGATATCTGGCTATGGTGCCTTTGCCAGCCCATCAATAATCAACGACAGCAACTACTGTTTTTTGGTGTTCTACTACAAGCTGGATGCTTGGGGTTCCCGCAAAGCATCGATATCTGTCTATTTTGTGGAAGATAATACTGATAAGTCGACACTCCTGTGGTCCACGAGCGATTCAGTGAACGAATGGGAAAAGAAAGTGATTGAGCTACCCAGTGCTAATGTCAGTTACTCAATTGTGTTACTGGGATATGTGGAGTCCTGGGGCTACGTTTTCATCGACGACTTGGCTTTCGTTCGTCGTGACTCGTGTAAGTTTTGATATTTTCTAAATTGATACATACCACGCTGGCGAACTGCTTCGGCAAAAGCTGATTAATTGGCTTGAGTTTGATAAGCTAAGTAATATATCAATCTCCGAGCAGCTGATGAGAATCCTTGGTTTCTGTCTGACATTTAAAGGGGAGGCTTGACCATGAACACAGATACTTTACAGTACACATATTTAGCTTTGCTTTTCTTTCCAACCTTAAAAAAACTGGGGAGCACCTTACTCCAAGTGTAGACAATCAATGTTGCAACGAAGACACAGTAATTACACGTTAACAATGAAATCATTCCCTGCAAAAGTTTTATTCGTCCTCTAGAAAGAGTGATGGAACGTTTCATTTCAGTTTGTGAAAGATGATAAGCACATCGTGTAGGCAAGTTTTTAAAAACATCCGAGGTTTTTATAAAAAAAAAGATGAAGTTTTTATCTGCTAGATATTCAGCTTATGTAATATCTACTTCAAGAATTTACTTCCTCTGTGCTAGTAAAAGTGGGGGATATTTACCTTCACTTCGGTGAGTATCTGTTTATCAAGAGTGATTTTTGCGTTATAAGGCAATGCACTTAGTACTATTAGGCGATTCGTGGATGTCTCCTATTGATTTAATCAACCTATCAAGTTCAAAATTAAAGCTTGGAGAAGAAAAATCTCGCCAAGAAACGGAATAACGTAATGTTAAATGATTCTCTTTGTGTTGATTTTTATAAAGAAATGAGAACTTGATTTTCTTAACAGCTGCTTTCATGCACCAACTAACCGGAAGCGTTTTCAGCGGAAACGTCAAGCAAGGTGTACGGTATACGTCGACTCAGAGTGAAAGAAGAATTTTTAGACTAAAACGTTGTCAAGTAACAAACAATGGTCTAAATCCAGTCCTTAGCGGGAGGCCGTCAGGTGCTATTCATTTCACTGCTGTTAAACAAGAGTTTGAAATAGTGAATAACTACATCGCCGGAAATAATAACGGAGGTATTTATTGTAGGATATTCAATGAACTGTCCACGAGTAGCCTACCAGTAAGCCATATCCATGCTAACACCATTGAGAATAACAAAGGTGGCATATTACATGTAGAAGGCGTTTCTGAGCCCTAGATGAACGTTATTGTTAGCAATAACTATTTTTCTCTAAACCTGGCGCAAAAATGGGATGGTTCAGCAAATAATGTCTGTGTCATAACAAAGTTTACGGCAATCGTTCAAGGAAATTTCTTTTACAACAACGTCGGCCATTACGTCTTCCTGTATGATAATTCCCAAACAAGTATTGTTGGTCTTCGATTTGTAAATAATACCTTGTACAAGAATGGTGCACAGGGGCTTAATGTCAACTATGGAGCAACTATTCTTTGCAATGGAGCAGCGGAAATTCTGGGAAACGTTTTGCAGAATCCTAACAACCGTTATCAGATCAGTACCACTATGAGAGGGAGTCCAATCACAGTTAACGCCACGTCAAATTGGTGGGGAGAAAGTGTACCAAATCTCATTTATTCTGTGATCCTGGATAAAACTACGGATTATAGATTGTCCATGACAATTGTATTCCAGCCGTTCGTCAAGCTACCACCCCAAACAGCTATATCAGGTGATTATGTTTATTACTTTCCAAGTCCAAGTCTATCTTTCATCTTGTTTTGATGTCTCAATTTTTCACCTTAAAATGTAACTCTCTTGTAAGAAATATTGCTCAGCTACATTGAAACATCCATGTTCATTCATAACAATTAAAAGTGCTAACTCTTTTCTTAAGTAAATCAAAATTGACCTATTTTGTTTAATGCTTTCGGGGTTTTTTCATTAATTCATTATACCCTATATGATACAAAACGGCTCAACAATTTTAAGCTCATCAATTCTCTTCCCAGTGTCTTGCCCGCCTGAATGGATTAAGGACGATGAGATGTGTTTCATGTACAAAGGAGGCTCATTCACTTTCTCCGATGCCAAGAAATATTGTGAGGTAAGCGTGGTTTCTATTGACTCTATTTTAGTCTCTCTATTCCTTGTATATGGGCTTCTTTTGTTTTTGTCTTTTTTTTATGCTTTTTCATTTATTTTTGCGCGCGCTTCTCCATCTACCCCCTTTTTTTCCGCTTGAGCTAAGATTAACTGGAATGAGCAATGGAGTGACGTGACTACACTAAGCGGCAAGGTCATTCAGCTTGAGGGCGACTTGACCTGGGGCGATGTAGGAATTGTATTGCTTTGAGGACGACTTGAACTGGGCGATATAGAGTTTGCATTACCTTGAGGGCGACTCGACCTAGGGCGATATAGGGGGCTGCATTCCCTTCCACTCCTAGACCCTTGTTCCGCTTTCCCGAACTGTATTTTATTAGGATATTGCTATATACTCGCTTAGCCTGATACTATATTTTCATTGTAGAGTTACGGTGGAAATCTCAATACCATGATTTCAAACGAAGACAAACGACTCATAAAGCACCTAAGACAGAGAGAATCTTTGGTTCGTTCAGCTGTGTTACCTTCCCTTTGGACCATAAGCAGGCGCTCTCTGAAAGAGGTGAGAAAACGTCAAATTCGATATTTGGTTTCCACCCCACATGTATTTTGCAATTAATTTGATTACCCAATAACATCATGAGTATCAAATTACACTCACAACTTCAGTCAGATCAATTCGGTGTCAGCTCTTCTTTACACAATGGGTATTGTTTGTAGATGAACTTAGAACACACATATCGCCCTTTTGAAATGCGTTCAATAACCCCCGATTGGCCTTTAACATGGATTGTATGTTGTTGGTGTCAAGTCTTCGTATTGACTTGTTTTGAATCATGAATTGTACTTCTTTTAAAACTGCTATTACCTAAACGTAAATGAAATTTCCTGCGGTTTTTTTTATGGTGTCAAAACATCTTCATGGAGGGAATCGTGCTAGCTCATCGCCATTTTGGCACTTTAGAAAAGGTTGCGATGGAACATCGTAATTTCCCCTGAAACAAATAATTTTTTACGCTGACATTTTTTCACCATGATTTTGGGTTAGGTTTTTGCCAACGATACAGAGAAGTAAAATAACCTTCTTTCTTTACCGTTAAGGTTCACTTAAAGTACAACGCTTTGATCTTTCACGATGTTTTGTTCTGAAAAAAAAAACTTTTTTAATGTCTATTTCTTTGCCTTATTTTCCCCTTTTGGGTGCCTATGTTATTTTTTCTTGCATTTTGTAACGGCAAAATGAAAAATTAACGAACAGATAAAAAGATGAAGAGTTATTGGGTAAAATAGTAGTAAACAGCTGAAACGTCTGCTTTATTATTTCTCTTTTCCACAGTCCCACGGTGGATATGTTCAGAACAGTAAAGTATGTCCTGTTGTGGCGGCCTCCGGAAATATTTCACAAGTTCATTGTGCTGACCTTCATCCTTTTGTCTGCGTGAGGAGGCCAGGTAAATTATACAAACTTAGTATCACAGCTGATGAATAAATGTTATCGGTATATTTAAGGATCATGCTACATAAATATCGATATGAAATCATTTTACCTCATTGCAAGCAGTACAGTTCTTGAAACAATCCTCAATTCATAGCTTGATCTTTCAGCCATTGATTGGTAACTCTAAATTGAGTGACAAAACCATTAAAAATTTCATCATGATAACTGCGATTGACAGCAAAGCTAATATTATCATCGTCATTATGGCACACTCTTTCATAGTTTTGCCCCACATAGCTATGTCATCACCACCATTGTTACTATTGTAACAATAAATTAAACTCTTCTGTACATGACACCACGCCTTACAGTAGCGTGATTGATGAAATGCAGAGTCTATTATTTGTGTTTCCACCGGTACTTTAGATAACAGGATATCCATTTATGCTAAAATATTTCTGCATGTGCTGAATCCCAGCAAAAACCGAGAAGAGAAGGGTCTCCATCCGGCATCCTTCCCTGCCCTATACTGCGGCGGGGCTGACACCATGTCTCAGGGATATGCCTCCTTATGAAGGAAGCAGATATAGACTTAATAGACTTGTTTTCTTTTGGCCTCACAGTTATCCACTGTCCAAACAGCTGTTTCCATAATGGGGACTGTATAGGTGCCACTTGTTTCTGTCATCCCGGATGGACTGGAGAAGACTGCTCCAAGTTTCATTGCCATGACTTGCATAACTGTTCTGGTAACGGTCAATGCATGGGTCCTAATGTTTGTAAATGCTACCCTGGATATTTGGTGAGCGTCATTTCTACTTTATTCCATCATAGCTCATAACTGTATTGACTGTAGCAATTTCGATACCTAACGGGACAACTTTTAAAGAACTAGGAATCACACTTGGTTGGATGGAAAGTAGATTTGTCCAGCTGGTAACGTGCACGTGATTTAGTGTTTCTCGTCAAGTAACCGAGAATCACTAATAAATGATAAATCAGATCTCAACCATCTTTAGGATTTATGTAATTCTCATCTTTATCATCAAGAACTTCTATGGAAACTTACCTCAAAGCGCGTTTTGAGATTCCATAAAAAGGCAAAGGCGTCCGACATTTTCTTCTCCTGTGTTGCACAATTTAACATTGTAGATCATCATTTTGAAACAACTGTGTTAGCTAGTCGTATACGTGAAAATAAAAGTCGCGTTAAAAAAGGTGATGCTCCGGCTATCATATAAATACCCATTTTTGTTGCTCCTACTTCTTCAGACAGACCGCCAAGAGATGGGAGAAGGAGAAGTCAGATAATGCTATAATCACGGGTTATTGAGCTAGGTCTAAGAAGCCATTATCTATGTTAGAGTTTTCAGCAGATTTTAACACAATTTTGGAAACGCAAGGCTACTTGTTGGAAATTTAATCGCCAGTAAGGACTCTTAAATGTCTTGAGCACCCTAATCTGATTGAAATGAAGCCAGTCATTGTGCTTTAATGAATTTACAACATGGCGTTGGAGACCCATCACTTTTTGTCTCTGAGAAGAGCAGTAATCATCTTTTCAGGGTATCGGCTGTACTTTCTCTTTTTGTGGAAAGTACGAAAGTTGTGCTGATTGCGTGACAGACCCGTTTTGTGGATGGTGTGACAGTTCACGCTCCTGCCGAGGAGGTTTTCCCGCGGGGCCTCTGGGAAGAAGTTGTCTTGCTTGGTTTTACTACCATTGTTATACAGTTGGAGACGAACATTGTTCACGTGATATAATGGTAGGTGGAGAAGAGAAAAGAGAACACATCAACACCATGGTGCACTCAGTCCGATCAATGCTAGATATAGAGAGGGGGACGTAAGTGTTTTAGCGCGTGTTGCTCATCAGTTGGTTAGCTCTTTTTTCCTGTTTTACCTTTTGCTTGTTTGCCTGCGCTTTATTTTATGTTTTTTTTCCTTTTTTTAAAATCATTACTGTCTTCAAAATGGCAGCACCCGACTATAAGAGCAACATCCGCCTGATATACAAGTAGCCCAGCAGCAGTTTTACCCAGATGGGATACCGGTCTACCCGACATCCATTTGTACTGCTACGCGCACAAAGACACCGTGAAATTGCGTCCAACAAGAAAACAAAAAAAAGCGTTCAACATGCATTTTAGTCTCACGACTCGACGATTGGTAGAATAGCTCGAAATACTATAGTACTCTTTGTTCCATGTCTATAATTTAACGATAAGTTTTTCCGCGTCTATTCTATCAAACAGAGGGTGAATTGTAGAGGTAAGTATTGCAATTTCAAAGATGGAAGAGCCACTATTGAATCCTGTCAAAAATGCCGCGACCTCGAAAGATGTCACAAACTCACAGTAAGATTTAAATCTTTGTTTCCTGTTCGTCATTGATGCTCGTTAAGAGTTCTAGGTAGTAGTCATGGGAAAGAACTAAGAAGAAGGTACACTTACATATATCTAGGTGCAAATTGCAACTATTACTAAGTTGTTGTGAACTCTTTGTTAATAAAGCCGATTAATCTCACTGGCGGTATCATTACCGGTAAGTGCGAAAATTTAGTATGAAACTCTCGGTATGGACCAAAAGTGGTGTTCATCTTGAGTTCTCTATAGAAATTCTACGAGTCGCTTGACTTCATACTATTTGTCAACTTTATGCTGCCATGCAAAAGCTAGGCAATTGATTGCATAGTGTATTCATATAAGCTGTAGGTTGAAGGTAGTGCTAATCTACTACCTATTATACCTCAAAACAGGAAGAAAGTCAGTGCACATCGTGGAATGAGACTCAGTGTCCAGGCGGGAAAATTGTAGTAAATTATACGGATCCCCTACGAAGAGATAACGTGGAATTTGCTAAAAATGTGAAGTTTGTGGAGCCTAACGAAACTCTCGTTTACGCATGTCCAGTAATTTTGCCAAAACAAGACAGAGTGTCGCTTGTTTTAGTTGCCCCAAGAGCCCTGAAAGTTCAAAAGGGTGATATACTGTGTAGTCCTCAAGCAGGAGGCATCATGCATAAGATAGTGAAAGAAATCAAGGACGGTAAGTATAATGGCTACGAACCTCTCATTTAGATATTTAAGAAGTTGTGGTTTTAAACAGGACTATGTCCATAAAACTTTTCGGGGCATGGGTGGAATTAGTTATCAATACTTTAGATGGTAGAGATTGTCTTGCCACCAAGTAGTGCTGAAAATATTTTGTGGAAGCGTAGTTTGATCGTTCGGGTGAGCATAGTCCTGAGAAGGACTATGCTCACCACCGCCCATGCTCGGCGGTGGTGACTGACGTTCCGACAACCTGTGATGTTATAACGTCGCAGCAAAACTGACTAATCATTTAACACGAACTGAACTAAGAACATTCTACTGACAACAACTGTTCACTTGACTCAGATGATGACTTCCGCACAGGTTGTCGAAACGTCAATCACCACCACTACACTGACCCGGACGATGACACTACCCATTCTCATGTTACCCTTGGGTTCAAGTCATTTACTGAAATCATTTTATCAATTTCTTCCAAAAACTGTATTCCATGTAAATATTAAACGTAAGGTTTACGCTGGGAATTTTTTGAGATCTTACCAGACTGCAACTTGTATTTAGTAAAAAATCAATAGCGAAGGCATCCCTAAAACAGACCTAAGTGCGTTTAAATTAATGTTGAAATCTAATATTGTCTTGAAAGGTCCTTTTCAATTGATGTTGAGCACCCCAGCAGGGTTTGAAGAGATTATCAAGTATGCGGACTTTAAAGAAGAGGTGACTGCAATACAAGTAGACGACGGCTCGACGTTCGAGGATGAGCCTGATCAAGATGACCTTTGGGATGTTATTTCTGGGAACATTACGTTTGATGAGGGTCGGGTCATTGTGCTTTCAAATGGTAGGTAGCCATCCTATATCAACTAGCTTAAGAGCGTGTCCACGAGAAAGTCGAGCAGGGGGCGATAAACCTCAAATCACCGATTTGGCTCAGACTTGGCACAAATGCCAAGTAGCATGAGTTAACACATGTAAGAAAATAAAAGGTCAAAATATTTAATTCCCTGGGAGTTACAGGGTCCCTCTTGGAAAAACTCCCTTTCCTGCATTTTTTGCATAATAAATTACTTGACTTTGCATTGCTGCTGTGACAAACTGAAAATCCATCTGCAAAAATTTACATGTTCCTCGTATAAACATTGGCTAAATCCATTCCTGAAAAAACCAGCGGCAAAAAAGCGATCATGTCTCTTCAAAGTCGTTTTCTTGTACGTCGAAACATCCTTTCGCCATAATATTTCTTGTAGTACCTTGCTATGTTTGCCCCCCTGACGACCTCAGAGACGTTTGCCAAGACACGAGGATCCGCGAAATGCGAAAGAAAGGATTCTGGGTTCCTTTCATATCACTTTATGCTTGGGATGTTTGCAAATACACGAGAGTTGGTGTCCCAAAATCCTGCTGTCATGTTTTCAACTTCTGACAATATAGCTGAATCGGACACTCCTACAATCTTAAAATATAATGCACGCCGATGTCCTTGGTAAACAGTTTCTCTTATCAGTTGCTTTGCCAACTGTGCATTTTAACATTTTCGGACTTAAAGGAGTTTGGGGAGGTATAGTCTCTGGCCTCCTTGAGTCACTATGAAAAGCAGAAGCGTCTGCGCACGAAGGAGGTTTTCTTCCGGGTTTTGATGTTAAAGGCCCATTTTCATCCGAGATCCTTTGCAGTCGTTTGTTTTTGTTTTGGAATCGCGCTATTGTTAAATGGCGAACTCTGATAGTCATTCACAAACACTATTAAAAAGAAAAACAAAGATTTGGTGAAGAACACAGTAAACAAATTTGCAGCTAAATATTTGAGACTGAAAAATCATAAATCGAGTCTGTATAAAACTCGTACAAAGCTTACTTGATGTTGAAGGAAATTGTTTGGCTCAACACTAAATAAAATATAATCAAATAACCACTATTGGCCAAAACTGATTTACTTTACGCATTTCAATTATAGAATAATGACTTGTACAAATGAGATCGTTTACATACATATCTCAGGATCTCAAGTAAAAATCAGTCAAATATTCATTCTCACCTCGAAAAAATCTCCCCGGAGTCTCTAGTTCCATCGTAGGAACAATGCAATAACATTTCTGCAAATGCACTGTCTGTAGTGTTACCGAAACCCATTGTTGTTTTCCTTGCCCTCCATAAATCATACACAGACTCTCGAAGTCGAATAACCTTCGCCTAGCCGGGCAGACCCGGCCTTCCTCTAGACCGCTTCTTCGGCGGCATCAACTTTTCAAATGACGTTTTTCATCGTCATACATGTAAGAATTAAAAACTATTTACTGATGTGGATACTACGATAGTTTGTTGTTCGCACATGATTCAAGATGGAACTTTGAAAGCCCTAATTAGTAAGATGGAAGAAGATATCAAAGCGATTCCGCAACTTCGAGGAAAATAGCGTATTTTTCATATATGAAAAATGATCTGGGCGCGCAAGGCATCTCGGTTGAAAATGGGCCTTTAACATTAGTGGATTGCCGGTTATTATTTGTAACCTTTAACAGCCGCTATCCACTAATTTATTCGTGTTTTTCTCGTACCCATGTTCCCACCAATAACGTAGCTCCATTTTCTGCCTTTAAAAGCACACACAGCCCACAATTCATCTATTCGCTCCGACGAATGGCTAACGCTCGAAACGTCAGCTTTTGTAATTGTTACGGTGCCCAATTTACCATTTCAACTTTGTTGATATATTCATATTATTTCGTTACCCCCACTGACGCAGCCCCAAACAGTTTCTTTAGAAACTATCAGCCCTTATCACACTTCTGTCTGTTACTTACTACGAAATTGACTGTCGACCCCCCTTTCTTCGCCCCACCTTTCAGTAATAATATGCACTTTTGCAATTAAGCAATTTCTAAGATACATCTCGTCGAAGAGCCAGATATTACATATCAATTGTAAGCAGACAACCTTAGATAAAATATGAAAGTAGTTTTTATGTACGTGTAAAGTCTTCGACCATTTTCTTTTTCCTTGTGCTGAGAGGAGACTGATGCATCACAGGCTTATTTGTTTTTCGCTGAAATAGCGACTATCTCAAGGTTGACAAATAACAAGTCAAATATTTTGGTAGCCGTAAATCTTTGTTCTTTGTTACATTTTTAACTTTGTAGACTAGAAACACAACATGCCAAAAAAAAAATGTCAAAGTTGACCGCTGAACAAAACTGCATGCGCAATCTTACCAAAGATGGTGATTAATCCTTCTGATTAACACCAATTTTTAGGGCATCAAATTATCTTTTTGCCACCAACACATATCATGTAAGTCGATAAGTATCACGCCGTAAAAGACCAAATATTTTGATGGATCTTTCTGAGAGCTCTGTCTGCATTTAATATTTCAACAAAGCTACAAAGCAAATCGGATCTGGTACATTGTTGACATAATGGCTACTTATCTAACTAATGATATTAAGCCAAAAGTTGCAACTAAGGCACCACAGAGACATGTATGTACTATCAAGTTTCTACCCAGATTTCAATGTCAAAAACCTCGACTACATGCGCCATTGATGTCCATCATCGAGTGCTGCGTTTCCTCGAGAATAATTCAAATATGGCTGCGAAAAAATTTCTCAAAAAAGGTTGGACTTTCGTTATTCAAAGATTCTCTCCTTGTTCATGTTTAAACGATGGTCTCTGAGAAACTTCATGTAAATTTCAAGTTATTTTAGATTAATAAAACAAAGATGTGGTGTACGGAATTTTGATGATATAGACTAAAAAGCGGGAGGTAGATGTAAATTTTACATCAACACGGGTTATGAAATAAATTGGCCAAAAATTTTATTACTGATTTTGAGATTCCAGTAGAGGCTTTCATTGCCCATATAAGAATAATGATCAGATGTGGTTTTTCATCGGAGATATTGGGCCTTGAAATACCCTTATTTTTGGACTTTGTCAAAACCAGAAAAAGTCGTCTTTACCTAAGCGGGAGGTAAGGGAAGAAATAAAATGAAAAAGTTAAAACAACTCAATTTTCTTAGAGTATGATAGATATGATAGTTTGATAGAATTTGCAGATGGAGTTTCAGTTTGTCACAGCAGCAATGCAAAGTTAGCTAATTAATTATGCAAAAAAGGAGGAAATGGGGGTTTTCCCAGGGGGACCTTATATCTCCCAAGTAATTACATATTTTGACCTCTTATTTTCACATATTCGTTTTCTTATGATACTTAGTATTTGTCCCAAGTTTGAGCCAAATCGGTGATTTGAGGTTTATCGCCCCTGCCCGGTTCTGCCCGGTTTTCTGGTGGGCACGCTCTTAATACTTCTTTTAAGATATAATTGACGATCATTTAGTTATATGTACGATTTGATGCGTTACTTAACTCCTAATAAGTGCATAAGATGACAATCAAGTTAGCAAACAAGTATACATATGACAAACAGACATTCAGACATTAAGCACTTCAAGAGAATTCAAATTCTGGTTCGAAAAGTCATATTCAAGTCCTGAAAATTCAAACAGTTTTCTGAACTCTTTTTTTTTTAGAAATATACAAGTGCCTCGGTCACACGTATGACACTGGAAAAATCACTGTCCACTCGTATTTCCTGGTAATAGAGAAAAACAATACCACCCTAAAGACAGGTGACGTAGTTGTGTCCAATGCTAGTGATGGTTTCATTGAGACTGTGGTTGCAGTTCATAGAACGAACAACACCGAATACTTGGAAACGAAATTCCAGAGATGCGAAGCAAGTTCTCATTGGCAAGGCACGAGGTATTTATATCATTGATGATACCTTCTTGCAATATCAGGCTTGTCGAAGTTGAGACGATGGAATTTTTGCATCAGCACAACTGGGGTTTAAGGCATTTGACTGGGAAAGAAATATAACCTGTCTTTTTCCCAAATCGCAATCATTTTCCTTAAACTGGATCGAGAGAGCTCTTAACTGATTACCATATTAGCAGTTGTTCTTCAAGATTGCAATTTTTGCGTCGGTGAGGAGTGCATGCGGCAATAAATAAATATTAACTACTTATGGACTTTGTTAGATGCTCGTATGACTGAAGACAACCCAGCTGACTGCTAAGGAGCGAAAAGCTGCACTCGGTCGAACGGGGCACTGTAGCCAACAAGCTGAAATCCAGAGTTCAAAACCTCTTCTGCCAACCACATTTTTTCACAAATCGTTTTTTCAATAGGACTAAAATCTATCTACAATTATTGTGTATGAATTCTCGATCGTGCCGGTGACTAAGCTGTTAAAGTATAAGGGATCTTGTCTTATGATTTAAAACCTTGGATGCCAAGCTCGACTATTCCATACGTTTTTGTTTACGATAAATTTACGTCTACTCCCTCCCAAAAAACAGACTGCAAGAAAGTAAAAAAAGGCTTTCTGGATCAGTACCTTGTAGCGGAGGGGATAACAACGAAGGCCTTGTCTTTTCAAAACAAGAAGATGGAGGTCGGCAGTTTTCTGTCAATGACTCAATTATTGGAAGACCAAGTGGAGGCTTTATTGCAAAGGTAATTGTCGTATTTTGTAAAGTCTAAATCTAGATTAACAAATAAAAGTACGTGCATCTTAAGAATGAAAAATGGGGGGATTATTGGATAATAACTAAAACTTAGCTTGGTTAGTTGCAAAGACTGATTCTATCATTCCCTAAGTGTCTTTCAGGAGCTGCAAAATCATGAAAAATTAAGAGTGATAGGCCAACTCAATAAAAAAAAAAAATTAGGATATTGGTTATAATGGGTTAATAATTTCTATCTTCAAGAGTTTAGCAGTCTTCCCTCTTTGAATTGAGAAAAGGGCAATGCATCACAGAAGTCATGATTCGAGATTTGTCGGGTACAATTATACTAGCTTAAATTAGAACTAGATGAAGTTGTCTCTGTTGGCCTGTGTGTCTTGTGTTATGTTATTTTCGTTTCTTTTATACTATCTCAAACCTCAGGTTATAGACGTCTACTCCAGCCAAAGTTTTCTTTTAGTGGAAGTAATCTCTGCCAAACTGGACGGAAATGGAACAATTATTACAGCTGTAGATATACATGCACTAAAAAGCCACAACAGACGTAGTAGGCGCTCAACGAGATACGATTCTAAATTGGCGAGTTTCAAACCCGACGGAATACATCACAAGGTATTTCACCTTTAATTAGCTCTGCAAAAGTCGTTTAACCAAACCGATAATTATGTAACTGCTATGTTGAGTTTGCTGTCTAAAGTCTATCGAAATCTTCTTACTTTGTCCACAAAATAATGTCTTGTAAAATTTTCCTTTTTGTCAGTTGCTGTCTACGGAAAACGCCAAGATACAAGTCTCTTTGGAAATGTTACTCAAAGTGACTATGTTTCTTGAGATAGAAAAAAGGTCGTACGGATTTGGAATAGAGGATGCTACCGTTGGTCTCGAGTTAAAAGGAAGCCTAGATCTCTCACTGGAATTTAGGGTTGAGAAGGAGTTGAAGTAAGCAATTTAATTTACGATAATTCTTATTTTATCCGGCACAAAGAATAATAATGTAATATGAAATATAGGAAGCTGAAGATTTTTATGGCAGACGGTTTTGATAATTCGCTTCTGCAATAAAGCATATATTTCTCTTCTAAGATTGATTCTTGAGTGATTTTGTGTTCCACCTCGTTTGTGCTGATTGCAGTACGTCTTATATAGTTTTGCCCTACCCGTGCAGTACAAGGTTAGTAATGCATTTTATGGTCAAGATCATGTGCTCGTAAGTGAGCAAAGTTTTGCGTTTCACAGATCACGTTTTCTCTTAGTCTTACAAGTCTCGTAAGTAGTATTTCGTCTCTTTTCCCTTCGTTTCGTTAATTTTCCTTTATTTTAATATTATTGTTGTCCTTTTACTCTACAGGTTGGCTTAAGAACAAAAATCGACATAGCTGATAGGGATCAATCAATTATCTTATTTTATGTTGTCAATAGGTATAACAAAGGCCTAAACGTCATGAGAGAAAAACAGCTCGGTCGTTCGATTTATATTCGCGTTGGGCCAATTAAGATCCCTGCCGGAATTTTCTTGGAAATAACAGGACATGCATCTGCTGAATTATCTGTAAGTTGGTGACACAATTTTCCCATTTAATCTTTATTCTTTAATAATGACTCTACACTATCATGAGGCATTTCAATCAGTTAATACAAGTTCTTGTATTTCCTCTATCACTAACTCAGTCGGTGAGCCAATCAGCAAGCCACTCAGTCATACAGTCAGCTAATCAGTTTCACAATTTGTTGGTTGGTTAGTGCAACTGCGTGCTTACCTGTACTTGTTTTTCGATGTGATTAGAAACCAACAAAGAACGAACCTGATCTAGGAATACAATGAAGATTAAATAAGTACGTACAGTACAGTAGCCAAATAGTTTGAGTTGGTTTTCTCTCTTTTTTCCACCAGGGAAAAATTTCACGTTCATTATCAGTCAATGGAAAAGTATCTCTCGGAGGCGAATGCCGTTGGAGGCGTGGTAGTTGCTACAAAACTGCTGATACTGTAAGGGAACAAAATTACTTTTTCAGTTTCTTGGTCATTCAAATTTCCGATGCACTCTAAAATGTTTGTGCCATCAGATTGGTCTCTACCTGGCAAAATGGCACCTCTTGCTCCAGGTCAAGGATAGCAATACCGCTATTTTTTGACAAAACTCTTCTAAAATCAAGTGATTCCTGAATTAGACCACGATTAGCATCGTCACGCGTTTGTGTTTTGTTTTGTTTGTTTTTTTTTTATTATTATTATTATGACGTGAACCAAGCTAAAATTTATTCCGACTTTCAGTTGCGATTATGTATCTAGACATTCGTGTTTTTCACATTCTTTTTGTCACTACAGCAGTCAACCTCTTGTTAAGAAGATGGCGGGCTACAGTTCTCGCTCCTTATTTAGGTTAGGAAGCGACATTTTCTGTTTCGGCAGGGAAACATCAGATCAAAACGAAAATTGAACGCCTCTTCATTGTACCTCGGCAAGTGAGCCCCAACAAACCTGTGCAACTACGACTCGACCTTTGAAATTCTGTTTACTTTATTTTTCCTTCTCCTCCTCATCCCTCTTCAGCATCATCTCCTTCGTTCTCTTCACCTTCTTCCTTTCGTCTTATCTTTTTTTTTTTCATTTTTTTTCTCCATTTGAGATCACATTTCGTCCTTTTTTGATACATCACCAATATAGGTTACTCTACGCAAAGGCTGGAATAGCCCACACGCGCAACTGGAAGCTGGAGCATCCGTCAAAGTTACAGTGAAACCCAAAATCTCAGTGAAACTGCCAGCGTTTCCAAAATCGCAAAAAAAGGCAGTCAAGATATTAGATTTTAGTTTGTTCGACGATTTAGGTGAGATAAATCAAATATTTTTTCATGCAGCTTACTTCAATCCAGTTTTCAACAAACTCCACGATTCCTCAGTTGAGGTAAATTTTAACATCAGGTGAGATGCAATTAAGAGGTAGTTGTATTTGAATTTTTTTCTTTGTATCTTTTCGTCTTATATCAACCCGATCATGTTTTTGATTAAGAATTACTAGTTATCCCTCTTTATTTCTTTGCCTGTTCTTTATCACTTAAAATATTCTTTTAGCGATCTTTTTGTTGTTTAGCGCATAAGTCGAATTGTCGTCATATGGTCCATTATTATTACAACCATAATTAATATGTATTAACCGTTTCATTGAAGGCGCTTACAGATCGAGTTTTGTAAAACCAAAACCCACAGTAATAATTATAACGGCCAGTCTGGGCGAAGGAAAATAACTCAAGGAGCCAAAGGGCAAGACAAGTGTCTAAAATACCGACTGAGCAAGTCATTTTTTATTTCATCTTTGCCTCTCATTTATGTAACCGTTGGCGCGATTTCCGCAGACCAGTCACAAGGCGAACTAAACCAAATCAATGGAAATTTGGAAAACCTTTGATTCTTGTTTGGAAATTACTCTATTTTCAATAACAGTCACATCGACCATACGTTCTAGTCTCATAAAAGGGTTTAATGGAGATACTTTTCTCTTAGTTGAAGCTGTTTTTGAGCGTGTAGACCTTTCCATGGCGGTATATGTAAGCGTACCACTAGAAGCTGGTTTGTCCATACGTCTTCCCGCGACACAATGCAGTGGAAACAAACCTGCTGAATTTGAAAGCTTCTACGGAATTTCTGGCGTAAATGTCGGTGTCTCGGTTGGATTTCTCGAAAAACATTTGACACTTGAGGTGCCTTTAGGATATTCTAAGAGGAAACGCCATTCGTAAGAAACTTAAATTTTTTATAAGAACATTTTTGCTCCTAATGTAAGAACAGTGACACAAAAGAAGTAATTATACTACACTCACATTTGTTAACGAGACTAATGAGATATCCCATTCCTCTTGCAAATCTGAAAGTTTAACTTTAAAAACAAAGCAGGATCTTCCTCGACATTATGGGGGTAAAACAAACAATTATTCTATAGAGATAAAAACATCACTTTCCTTGTTCAGATTCGACATTTTCGCATAATGAAAAACATGAATGACTAGATAAACCATTAAAGAAAAAAGTATTTAGAATAACTTAAGTTATGCAAATTCTGTGCTATGGGAAAGAAACCTTGTTTTGTTTGTAGAAAATAGAGAGTAAGTGCATTAATAGGTAGACAAATGAGAAGAGTAGAAAACGGACCTTAAAAAAATAAGTGAATAGCGGACATGACTGGCGTCTTCATTAAACTATTTACTCTAATCAATATTTTACCCGTTCTTCCCTAGGAATTGTATATGTCCAGTTCAAAGTGAGAAAGTAAGTTAATACTACGATAACTTGTATTATTTAATACCATCTTTCAGAATTTTACCTTTCAATTATATTCCGCCTGCTCTTTATACCTTTAACGTAATCGTGCTTTATATGGCGTTGTTTAACTCGCTTTAAATAAAACCTGCCTCTTCCATATAACAGATATGTTTGGGACCTCCCACAACGCGTCCTGGACCACCTGGAAATGAGAATCCAACAACTGATCCTAATCGGCGTCCAAGACCACCTGGAAATGGGAATCCGACGCCTCCTTTTAATCCACGTCCAAGACCACCTGGAATTGGTAATCCGACACCTGCTCCCAATCCGCGTCCAAGACCACCTGGAAATAGGAATCCGACGCCTGCGCCTAATCCGCGTCCAGGACCACCTGGAACTGGGAATCCGACGCCTGCTCCCAATCCGCGTCCAAGACCAACTGGAAATGGGAATCCGACGCCTGTGCCTAGTTCGCGTCCGACACCAACTGAAAATGGGAATCTAACGCTTACTCCTACACCTACTCCGACAAATAAGACAGGAAATAAGCCACCACCAAGTGGGTAAGAGTGCTGATTATTCCTTCACATCATGTGATACAGCCTGTGCGATGTCTAGTGCTTCAACCGTGTAATGAACCTTCTATAGTACTGTTTGTGTGAACTTAAAGTGATTCTTAGTCTCATAGAGAAAAGGGGGGCTGAGGTGATCATGTTACTGCTAAAAGATTGGTTGAAGCTTTGCTATTGATGAAATTAGTTGGAAAATATTGCAACAAAATTAACAGCTGCTGGCCGACTGGCCAACGGCCAACTACCGACTTTCCGAATTGCCGACTTTTCGACTTGCCGACTTTTCTACTTGCCGACAGGCCGACTTGCCGAGTGGCCGACTAGGTCAATTAATTGACTGACTGAATGATTGACTAGCTGGCTGACTGAGTAACAGGGTCACCAGTCGATTGACCTACTGACCAACTGACCAAATGGCCGACAGAAGAATTAATTGATGCATTCATTTATTTACTTTCTCTGAAACAGCAAGACAGGAGAACTTCCATGTGGAAAAGGACCTATCTGTGCTGGGAATCGAACGGGTCCTAACTGCACTAAGCCTGATACACCGCTTCTTCAGAGTATGTAACAATAAATGGACCTGCGAAGTGTGAACCCAATTGCAGTAAAGTTGTTACAGAAAAAGCAAACCGAAAAAAGGAAAAAGCCAAATTCATTAGCCCATAGCATAAACATATAAAGTTAGCATAAACATATGTTTATAAGAACTTTTTTATATTTACAAGAAATTAGAATAATTTCTACGTTGAAATTTCTGGAAATTGCTCGGCTGACGTACAAACAGCCAAAGGATAGCTCTATATGTATGTTGACTAATTACTATTCGGCTTTTCCTTTTTCGTTTATGAAATACTTCCTATGGCCGTATCTGAGTGTCTTATCGACCGTATAGGGTGTGTGCTTAAGATGAAAGCAACGTAAGCGAAACTAATAAAGCGTTTTTTGTGACCAATAACAAATCTGGTACGCTCAAAAATTCTCTTCTGAGAAATTTAAGCCTAAAATCCCCCAAAAAAACAAATTTTGCCGGCATCATTCAGCGCGGCCGTTTTGTTGTTCCACTTTCCGTTCTACAGTGTAATACTATGGCATATTTTGCAATTCCTTTGCACTAATATGGTAAAATAGTTTATTAGTGAAATAAATTTCTTTACCTATATTTTACTACTCTCTGAATGTATCACTGCGATGATCTTTCTTCCGTCAAAATCATGATAATTTGCTCCCCAGACTGCTCAGGTAACGGAAATCCCATCATAGGCCCGAAGTGTGAGGCGCTGTGTAACTGTTCAGGAGGATGGGAGGGTGAATTTTGTGAACGATTAATTGCAAATGGTGGAGGTGACCCACACCTGGAGACATTAGATGGTAAGTAGACATGGAGAAAAATATTTTTCTTATACGCATTAACGAAAGTAAGAGATGAAGAGAAATCGATTACCCTGTGAGAGATTCAACAATTTGCTCACCGAACTACTCAGTTAGCGATAGATTTCAGACAATCCCTTGTGTTTCCATTTGTAAATTAGAGCTTTACTTCAGAGTTTGAAAATGTTTTCCGAAGGGAGGCATAAATGGTATTTATCGAAATTGATATTTTCTCTTGTTACTAAATTGGCGCACAGTTATTAGGAACAATACATGTGCGCTTCTTAGAGGAGTGATTGGTACTGCGAGACTCGCTTTTAAAGCACCTTGGAAGACCTTAGAATGCGTACGATGTGTTGCTAAAGTAAAACTTTAAGAACGGAAACAGTTGCATTTTTGATGTTTGCCTTCTTTTTTAGGTGTTAATTTTGACTTTTTTGGAATTGGAGAGTTCTGGGGTTGCAAGAGTGTTAAAAACGATTTTGGTCTTCAATTTCGTTTTTATTACTACGAGCGAGCTTCGCTAATTGGCGGAATAGCACTCAAAGCTGGAAGAAGTGTTGTTACGATTATGACGATCAAGACTGAAAAAGTTCAAGACCTGCCCATAACAAGGTTTGTTTTGTGTAATTAATTTGATCAATTAATGAATTGTATTTATGATGTAGGTGGTAGCCAGGGTAAACATGTAACTCCCAAAAACTGGTGACCCAGAAGCCTCATCGGTATGATTAATACACTTCTCTTTTATCACATTCTTATTCTAAGATGTTTGAGAAAATCTAAATACCGAGGCAAGAAATTTGTTTTTCCAAGGAGGCTGAAAAAGTAAAATGTACATATCTTTAGAGTTATTAGGTCATGTCTTTAAGTTTTTGATTGTGGCGATTGTGAACCGACGTAAACTGTGATTCGATCTGGTTCTACAAGGTATTTATTTGTTCAAGGTACTTATTTGTTACGGCGATGTTGACTTACCAACCCAGACAAAGAGATCCCTTTCTCCTTGGTCGAACAAGTGTCATTCAAGAACTTCATGTGACTGACCTTAATTTCTCGACAGAATCGATGGAGCGGAAATGAATGCCACCAGTAATTCCTCAGACCCTGTTGAAATAAGTAATGGTACCGTGCTATTAGATCGTCAAAGACGTTTTTCGTTTGAGGCTGAGGAAAACAGTGTCGTTTTGATTTCACTTCAGTATGATGCAGGCAAGTCTTCAAATGATTTGACGTTTTCCTTTTTGCTCATTATAAAATCAAAAGATGTGAATACTGGTGAGGTAGAATTTTATCTTGAAACATCATGACAGGACGGAAAACGCGTGCACTGTAACTACTACCTTCCGTTGTCCCATACAAAGCCCTAGAAAGCTTTACTAAGGCTTGGTATGGGACAACGGGAGGTACTTGCAGTGCACGCATTTCCGTCCTGTCATGAATGCTTTTAGTTCCTGAAATTAATTTCTTACATTTATTTGCGAAGACACTCAGATAAATGGTTTTATACAATTATATTTTCAAAGGATGCTCTTCGTCCACCATGTTAGGCCACATTTTGGAGGGATTTCGTTTTAGGCTATTTCCTTGCTTTGTTTGTTTGTTTACTCTTTTACCAGTGAGGGAAAGAGAACCGTAGATCCAAAGCCGAGAGAAATCCTCGGGGCTACCACAGGAACTTAATTATTTCAAGGGTTTGACTTCTAAGAGTTGTAAAAACTGAAAAGAAACGTCTATGAAATGATCGAAGGAGTTAAAGAACTGGTCTCGAAATTCGAACCCAGGCAACAGAGGGTTAGAGAAGAAAGCCCTCGTCACCGCGGCATTCCAGCCAAGCTACATTTTGTGGCGTCTAAAGTCGAACTTTTTTACTTCCCTCAGGTGTCACAGTAACCATCGACGTCCGTCACAGTCGGGTGATGAAGAGACAGTATTTGAATATTCTCTATTCCCCAACTGCTGCTTACAAAGGTCACACTGAAGGACTCTGTGGCTTCATGGATAACAATGCTACTAACGATTTCATCGGGTCGGACGGAACTCTTTACGATGATGCGATTAAATTTGCCGAATCATGTAAGCAAAGCTTAATAAATTGTTTGATCTAGATGGTGGCCCATCAAAACAGTTATTGTTGCTGAAAATAAACTTAGAACTGAATGAAACTTTGGAGTAAATACCTCTTATTAACTTCGTATTTTAGGTCTATACAGTAGGTTACAGACTGGGTGGAAAATAGCATCTTTAACTTACAGTCCGCACTGAACAAAAGAGTTGTTAGCAAGATATTCAAGATATCTCTGCTGTGCGTTTGGTGGATTCGAGAAAATTTCTTTTGTTAAGTGGGATAACTGCAGATAACTGATGAGTGCTGAAAGCAAAATGAGTCATTTTGAAATCGTTTCTTTAGTCGTTGGAATGTTCCATTGCATACTTGAAAGAAAAAAAGGATGAAAGTCCAATGCTCACTTTAAGGGATATTAAGGTTCATTAGGATAAGCCAACGGATAAGGACGACAAGTTTTGATCAAAGTATTGACTGACAGAATCTGCGCTATCCAACCGTCCTCCAGTTTTTCAAATACGTTGATTGGGGTGGTCATTGGCTTGCAAAATGAAGGTAATAACCTGATAGAAACTTAATTCTCAGCATGATAGACAAAGTACTGTATAAAACTATATACCAGTGAGGAAACTTTGTTTTCATCAACTGTGTTGGTAAAGTAAATTTGCCACCGTAAAGAGTTTCCAAGCTGACGTTTCGAGCGTTAGCACTTCGTTATTCGCTCGGACGAATGGCTAACGCTTGAAACATCAGCTTGGCAACTCTTTACTGTGGCCAATTTACATAATCAACTCAGGTGATAAAACCAAATTATCTTAAAATACCCCCACCTCACCCCACCCCCCACTAACGCTCAAAATGTCCGCTTTAAAAAGCTCTTTACGGTGGCCAATTTAGTTTATCAACTCAGTTGATAAAACCAAAATTACCTGTTACTCCCACTGACGCAACACCAAAGTTTCTTCAGAAACTTACCCCTTTATATAACGATGAGTTTGTTTCTTTCATTTTGAAGGGAGGATCACGGATTGTCACAGTGGCTCAGGCACAAGGGACTCTTGGTCATGGAATTCATCAAACTTTTATCACGATGACGTAATGGACATAACGTACACAGATCCCTCGTACATCCCTACGTATTTACTGGACGGGATTTCCCAGTCTGTACTACAGGTTAACGAACTTATGCGCATAAATCAAAACCCTTACTTAGATCTGTTATGTGATTTGTATTTAGCAGCCCCATTTGAACACTAACTGGACAGAAATGATGCATTGCTTTAATTTGATTTTTATTTAACTGGTTGGTTTACGCCTTATGCCCGTATGATTGTTACGCGGTATGTAAGCACATAAAAAAAAAAAAAAACAGGACAAACAACAGAAAACAAAAACAACACCATCACATGTACATTTGGACACGATTTAATAAGAATGTAGTGAGATTTCCCTTTAGATAAGCGCTCCCCTTCTTAACCTAAATTTGGAATAAGCCCCCAGGCCTTAGTTGGAGGACCTGAAGTGATTGGAATAAACCTCTTAATTTTAGATAGGACTAGTTATAATTCCTTTGTGTTAAAAAAAAAAAAAACTATTATACCTTCACCTTAGATTGCAACAAGCATGTGCAAATCCTTGAAAATTTCTGATAACAAGCTAAAAAGCTGCATATTCGATGTCGCCATTACCAATGACACGACTTTTACTGATCAGGAAACCTTTAAACGAGGTAAGCTCTCAGTAACGTTGATGTTATTATATCATAAGTGCTTTAAGTGCTTTTTTAAGGAGATTTCATTAAGACAGATGGTAAGTTTTGATCTCGGTAAAGAAATATAGAAAGATAATTTTCTTCTCGTCATGAGCGTGAGTCGAAGACCAAATTCTAAGTCTCCACGAGGAATAGAACCTCAGACCTTCGGATTCCACGCTCCGATGCTCTACCACTGAGCCAAGGACTCTATGGTGAGCAAGGCCCATTAAAAAGTTTATCTATGACACGTTTCTTGCATACTGCTAACATCGGCAATGTCGAAGTGTCATCGAGATTTCATTTGTTTGAGAACTTAGGGCCCGTTTCTCGAAAGTCGCGGTAACTTAACGGGTCCGTCAATCTGTTATGTTTTTATTCAAGATAGGTACATCAAAAGTTTTGAAAATAATACAACTAAACTATCAGCTAAAGCGGAAACAAAATGGACTTGTTTGGGTACCAGAACCTACTTTTTATCATTTCAGTTTTGATTTTATGGCTTCGGGCCCGTTAAGTTCAAGAAAAGATCATCCCATATCATCGAAAAATTACAAATATTAGTTAAAATTGCCTTAACTTGAATCTTTAAGGACAGTATCATCGATAAGCAGTGATACTACACAAAGAAATCTAAAAGTGCAAGAGTGCGCAATAGGATATTTTCAAAGCAACGGTGTGTGAAGTCCGAAGCGATAACTTGCTGGCCTCATCGTGTTTACGAGATCTTATTCTTCGTGGTTAATGTTTCAAATGTTTTGTTTTTTAAAAATCCATTAATTCTACATTAATTCTACCCCTTAACATCCAAAAATACAACTGATACTAGATAAAAACTGCCGTTACTTGAATCTTCAAGAACATTGCCATCGATAAACAGTTTTATTACACAGAGCAACCTGAAAGTGTGAGAGTCCACAATAGGAAATTTTCAAAGTAACAGTTTGTAAAGGCCAAAGCGATAACCTGCTGGCTTCACCACATTCACGAGATCTGATTCTTCGTGGTTAATATTTCAAATTTTTTTTTAAATAATTCCCTCGAAAAACTCGATCTCTTTGTTTAAGATTGTCCAGACCAATGCTCAGGCAAAGGGAGATGTGTCAATGGAACATGTAAATGTATCGAAGGTTGGACAGGGAAGAGTTGTGACAAAGGTATCTGTTAATATCCGCGTGAATCTTATCAACAGATGTTATATGTATCCTGTGTGAGACATACAATTATAGTCAGCATAAGGGCTCGCTTAACTATTTTTTGTGAGTGTACGTGTTTTCTACTTCGTTTGTGTGTTGTTTTTTGGAGCTTCTAAGTAAGTTCAATCTCCATTATGAATTTCAGCAGAGCACAACTGGGTTATTCAGTGTTGCCATCGGGCATCTTTACACAAAAATCGTACCTCGTGGACGCTAACATTGTCATCGTAAATTTTCTTTCCCAAGGCTCTTGTCTAAACTGTTCAACCATCCATGGCGAGTGTGTTAAAGGCTTTTGTGTCTGTGACCTGGGATGGGAAGGACGAAGCTGTGAAGTGGAAGGTTATAATTAGAATTAAAGAAAAACCTTATGCCGTTCATCACACCTGATTAAAATCGCATTTATTAACCGAGTTCTGATGTTGACAACAGAGAGCTCTTTTAAGCTGTTAAATGGACGTTTTCAGACTGTGTAAATGAGCTAAGGTCCCTTTCCACTGGCTTGTTTGAGTTGGGTTGTTTTACCCATTTCCTCAGGAAAAGTTGATTTAATTTTTCAACTAGTATCAAATTTGAAACAAATAAAAAAGAATGAAGGGCAACTGCAGTCGTTTTCGCTTGCTTCTTAAGGTCGAGCGCTGGTTTCATTTCCCAAAATTAGTGCCCTTTGTGACGATTTTCCACCATCTCGCCGTTGTATCACACCAAGATACTAACGTTGTTAAATTATTGTGATCAACAGCCACTTGCTTTGGAGTTAACAACTGTACCAGCCCTGAACACGGCAGTTGTAAAACGAGGGATGTTTGCCAGTGTACTCCTGGCTACATAGGTCAGTTACCTGAAATCGTATATCAGTGTTTTACTTTAGTTGTAATAATTGTGTAATAAAGTGTTTTTACAAGCCAAGTGGCCCTCCCTAGATGGGTTACCCCCCCAGCATTAAATATGCCGGTACTCATCATGCCGGTACTCATCATGCTACCTTTCTATAACATCAAGAAATGGCTAGATATCTTGGTCTTCTCGGATAGGGACGAACAAATGG